TTGAAATTTACGGTGTTACATCAGGTCTAGTGATGGTTAAATATTGAAGAGCACTAACAATAGGTGGATATTGAGTAGGGTCTGAATATGGAGTACTAGAAACGGTAAATGAGACATTAGTAACAAGAGGAGTGGTTGGTTTAGCATCGAACATCTTGGCACTTTCAAGAATCTCATGAGTATACTTGGATTGATTCAAAAAGAGCCCATCGAAAGCATACATAACTTCAATCCGAAGAAAGTAGCTGAGCTCCCCTAAATCCTTGATAGCAAATTCTTTGTTCAGATGGGCAATAAATGTTGTAAGAACGTGATCTTGGTTACCGGTAAGAATCAGGTCGTCAACATAGACAAAGGGGTTGTTTATTTTTTTTTTGTGAAGATCCGCGCAACCACTTTTGTCTGCACCGCGCAGAAATATACCCTCACAAAATGTTTTTTTGGAAGTGTGCAGATCAAAAAACATCTGCGCGAGGCCTTCCTGGCGCAGACATGGGTTACTGTCTTCAAAGGTCTTCATACGTCATTTTTACCTAAACCGAAAAAAAACATGGGTCACCGTGCATTTATTTATTTATTTATTTATTTATTTGCTGAAAATGCGTTTTTAATGTTTATGACATGAAATTAAGTTTAAAAAATCAATTCATTTCAACAGCCGCAGACGTTAAAAACAAATAATCTTCTTATTGCAGATTGCAGACATTTGGTCCACTTCTTCTACCGCAGAGGCTTGCAGATGTGGTCCGCAGGCTGGAGATATTTTGGATTCAAAAAAACAAACTGCACCTAATAAGTACATAACACAAGAGTCGCGTTTAAAGATAAACAAAGAGGTGTCAATCCGACTACTTGTAAATCCATTAGCCAAGAGAAAGTTGTTTAATCGATGAAACCATTTTTGTTGGGTTTGTTTAAGCCCATATATGTGGGTTTGTTTAGTTTGCAAACGTGAGTTAGAAACTGAGGGCTAAGAAAGCTCGTGGGTTGCTCCATGTATATGCATTCAGTAACATGTCCATGAATGAAGACATTGTTAATAGCAAGTTGATGTAACCTCTAGTTATTGAGAACCGCCAAAGAAAGTATGATGCGAATCGTGGAGGCTTTAACAACCGGGCTAAAGGTATGAGTGTAATCAAGACCCATTGTCAGGCTTTGTGGCGTTCAATAGTCCCATTAGAGTGAAACTTGGTACGATAAATCCATTTGAAACCAACAATATGATGATTAATAGGACGGAGAACGAGGGATCAAGTGTTGTTTTTATGTAGGGCATCAAGTTCATGATTCACAACATCAACCCATTTAGGGTCTTTGAGGGCAGACTTGAGCCCTTTTGGGTCGGTGGTGGCATACGAGTCACTTGAGAGAAATCGGTGATATGTCAAAGTTTAAAAATACTCGCTTTAGCTCTACTAACCATAAGGTGAGATGGCATAGCCGGTGGTGTAAGAGGAGTAGGATCAAGAGTGGGAGTGCTATGAGGAGTGAGAGGAGGAGGATCCTCAATATGTAGTAGGGTAGGTATAGGTGAAAGTGGGTCTTCAAAGGTAGGAGGTGTGGTAGGCGTAGGTGATGATGGGTTATCGACAGTATGGCTTGTAGGTGAATAAGTATCCATGCAAAGATGACATGGAGGGGTAGGTAAAGGATTTGAGGGTAACGTGCATGGGGAAGAGGCAAGAGGTGAGCATTTAGGTGAATCTGGAGGTTTCACAATAAGGGAAATGTCCATAAAAGTGGAAACTTGAAGGCGAGAGATAGACTGAGAGTTGGAGCATTTCATAAAGGGAAAAGTAGTCTCGTAAAATCGAGCATGTCTCGATATACACACACGAGATGTTATTGGGTCAAGACATTGATTCCCTTTATATTTAAGGATATAACCAATAAACATGCACAGTAAACTTCTTGGTGATAATTTATGTTCCGAGTAGTCACGAAGATAATGAAACACGCAGCAACCAAAAGTCCAAAATGAATGATAATTCGGCAATTGTAAATAAAGAAGCTCAAAAGCAGATTTTCCAGCTAAAGTTTGGGTGGGTAGGCGAGTGATGATGTAGATAGTAGAAGAGAAAGCATCCACCGAATATAATGATGGTAATCGAGCATTGAACATCATGGCTAATCCCATCTCGACAACATGTCGATGTTTACATTCCGTCCGACTATTCTGTTGTGGTGTATATGGACAAGAAAACTTGTGGAATGTGCCATTGCTTTTAAATAAGGTCTACGCTTTATGATTCACAAATTCCGTTCCATTGTCACTTTGAAAAACTTTAATTTTTGATGTAAATTGGGTTTGGACAAATTGCTTGAAAACCTCCAAAGTAGTATACACATCAGATTCTAGTTTTTTCCATGATAAAGCCAACTAAAACGAGAAAGATCATCAATGAAAATGACATAATATCGGTAATTATCGACCGATAGAACCAGGGAAGGTCCCCATTACATCCAAATAAACCAGATCTAAGGGATGTAAAGCCCATTTTGAGTTGAGATCAAAAGGTAACTGTTGGCTCTTGGCCAATTGACATGATAAACAAACATCTGGTTTAGGTAAAAGTGAAGTTACAAATAAATATCCTAATTTTTTTAAAGCAACAAGAAAATCAAAAGATGCATGACCCAACCAGGAATGCCAAACTTCAAAAGTGGCCTTAGGCGGCGTAGAGGAAGCAAAAAAAAAAGCGTTAGGACTTAGTTGCAAAACATAAAGCCCATCATCACATTTTCCTTGGGCTAGCACATGCTTTGTGTAGCGATCCAGAATAAAAAATTGAGGGTAAGAGAGAAGAACATCCATATGGTTGTCTTTGGTGAGTTTACTAACGGACAATAGGTTTTTGGTGATCTGAGGAACAACTAAAACATCCTTTAATAATAAATTAGGTGTAAGGTTAGCATGACCTTTATGAGAAATTAGGAGGCGGTGACCATTCCCAAAGGTAACTACAGCAGTACTTGGAAGGGAAACGGAGTTGGAGACGGTCTCAGAAGATGCAGTCATGTGGTCCGTGGCACCAGATTCAACAAACCAATCAGGCCCAGAAGATGAAACATGGCATTGAGATAAGAAGACAGAAGTCAAGGCATCATCAGAGGGGTTGGCCTGAGAGGCATAAGATGCAATTTTAGGGAAAGCGGAAGCATAATGGCCATTTGTGCGAGAAATTTGACAATGGGGAGGTAGACGACCATGACCCTGACTGCTAGAGGAGGCTGAACCATGAGAGAAAGATCGACCGCCTTCCTTGAGTAGATGGCGAGACAACAGCAGAGAAGGCAAAAGATGGAGGGGAGGTTCCATGAATAGCCTGTAAGAATAGTTCATGGCTTTCTGCCCGGGAAAGCAAGTCAGCGAATGCAAGAGCAGGGCAAAAAGAGCAGACAACCATGGAAAATGTTTCAAAAGGCAACCCAAGGCCACAAAGGAACCAGTGAAGTTGATCATCAGAATCAACTGGATGGCCAGTAGCAGATAACTGATGCATAACCCTTTAAAATGGTGACCGTATTCAGCCACAAATTTTTAGCCTTTGAGAGATTGACGAAGTTAATCTCGTAGATTTTAAACTTGTTCGATAGAGGAATTACCGAACACAACTTCTAAGGCAACCCATATATCATGAGCTGCGGAGAGACCAACAATCGTAGAAACAACTTCCTCTAATAAAGATGCATGTAAGAGGATGATGGTTTTTTTTATCATTATCAAGCCACACAATGTAAGCAGGATTGGCAGTAGATTTTCCGTCAAGTTGAGAGAGATGTGAAGGAAGCACTGTGACAGATCCATCCACATAGTGGAATATGTTTTGATAAGGTAAGCTGGGTTCCATTTGGTTTTTCCACAACAAATAATTAGTGGAAGAAAGTTTGATAGTAAGCATATGGATGAGGGTATTGAGGTAATAACACCATCCATCGAGGAAGAAGAAGACATGGAGAAGGGGAGAAGAACAGGTAGGGGATGAAGGTGGGGAGATCAACCAATTAGGTTGATACCATGTGTAATATTGAATTCTAAGTGATTCGTATATAAACATTACAAATAAACATAGAGGCACAACATGGGAAAAGGAAAAGACGTATAATGAAGAACTATAAATGAGGTAATTTAATATTGAAGATTTTTTTTAAGGATTTTCTAACATGCGTCCTAAGGACACATAAAAAACATTAATTGAACTATAAATTATGAAAAATATTACCATAATTAAATACGAAATTTATTAATTATATAAAATATTATTCATATTTAATGCATTTCATATTTAATTATAATAATATTTCATATACTTAGTAATTGTTATATGTACCACATATATTAGAAAATCCATTTTTATTATGAATTATCTTACTTTTGAATAATTTAAAGATTCATTTTGTTTGTTTGTTTCAAAATATATGTATATAAAAAGTTTTTTAATTTCACTAATTGAGCTAGATTTGGACAAATATCATAGCTCACTTAGGAAAATCGATGGTAATCTAATTGAAATTACAGATGGCTAAGACCACTTGTGATTTCCGTGATTATTTTGGAAAACCAATTTTATTTTTGCTAAAAATAGCTCAATCATTACGACGATTGGATAATTTTATAATTTTCTCTTTGTTTTTACGAGCTTCTTTCTTATTAATTTTGGAAGTTTTAGATATAATTGGGAGAATCCAACTAAAAAGTACTTGTTAATCAAGGATAAGAATAAGATACGTAAATTTAGAAAATAGCAAAACGACAAATTAAGATACATTATCATAAAAAGATTAAAGATAATATAATTTTTTTGTAAATTGTTGAGAGTAAAACATATTATAAACTTTTATTTCACACACCAATTTCTTCCATTTCTCCAACAAGTCGGGAAACACCCCGTACATCCCATGTATCATGCATCTGTCACTATTTGCTCGTAGTAGTTTTCATGTACGACTATGTCTAAAAGATATTAGATAAGATTTTCATGGAAGACTACTTGATTTGGACCAGCACTACTTGAATTGCAACAGATCTCTCTCTCTCTCTCTCTCTCTCTCTCTCTCTCTCTCTCATCTCTATCTTCTCTTCTCCCCCACCAACCTCTTGATCTCTGCAACAATGGAGGCAAGAGAAGCTTCATTCATGCTGTTTCTAACCCTCATCTTTCTCATTTTTCTACGATTTGCTGAATCCCTTGTGCCACCACAAGAAGGTAATCCTTATTTTAACTTCATTTTTTCTCTCAACAAATTAATAGGGTTTCCGAATTCTTGATTAATTTCGCCTTCAAGTATTATATTAGTGTTTCTTCAAGAATCTTGATTTGCATTTCTGAGTAGTAGTTAAGAAGATGTGCAGAGTTGAAATTTTGCTTGGTTTGCTGCTTGGATTGAGGATAGTGTTGAGCTTTCTACAAATCCAAATCAAAAAGTTATATTTTCCTACAAATTATAAGAATTCCATATGAAGTTTATTAGCTTGTTTTTCTCTAAAAGTCAAACCGTACATCTTTTCCGGTTTGAAAGTGTGTGGTTATCCCAAATATGAGAAATGATGTGACCTTTTTATAATATTTCTTGAACACTTTAGCTTAAAAAGATGTCATTTAATTTTTTCCTCTAATTTGATTCAGTGGAAACTGTCGAAAACATTCTTGCTGACATGAATGCAACAAACTGGAGATTTAATGGTGAAAATTGCATGCTTGATATGATTTCTCAAGTTCCAAGGCCAACTCAAGAAGCTAATGCAACCATCACATGCGAATGCAACATTGGAACCGATACAAGTTGTCATGTCGTAAGCTTGTATAAAGTTCTTTCTTTCTTTATTATTCGCTTTTTATTAATTTTTTTGTAATAAAACCATAAACTAAATAATATTTGGAAACGATACAAATTGTCATGTCGTAAGCATCATGTATAACGTTCTTCTATCTTTGATCTTCACTTTTTATTAATTTTTTTTGGAATAAAATCATCAATTATAAACTAAGTAATATTTGTGTATGCAGCATACACAAATGGTATAGTCTTGACGGGATACTTTCGCCCGAATTGGCAAAACTTCCTTACCTTCGATCCTTGTAAGTCCTCTTTTACACCATGTGAAATCTCCTTTTTACCCTTTACTTAAGTGGTATTCAACGAAATTGAAGTAAGTTCCATTCTATTTGCAGTGATGTTGCTTATAATTTCTTACAAGGCACAATACCGCGTGAATGGGGTTCATCACAGATGGAAGAAATGTGAAATCTCTTTTTTACCCTTTTTAGGACTTTTGTATACGAGAACTAGAAGTTGACAAGTCTTTAAACCTATCTTTCCATATGCAGATTGATTCTTGGAAACCGTATCACCGGAGAAATCCCACCGGAACTAGGCAATCTCACTAGTCTTAGAAATCTGTAAGTTCTTATTTTTTTTTTTTTTTTTTTTTTCAGTTTATTTTCTGGGTAATTCTAACATTTTACAATAAGGGTCGTATTCTTTTTGTTTTTATGGTTTATACTTTTATATACTCATGCATATAGTTGGAATTCTTGTTTAGGGACCTTGAAGCAAACTATCTCTCAGGAACTATTCCACCACAATTAGGGAGATTAATCAATTTGAGATCTTTGTAAGACTGACTAAAATTTTCGATTATTGCTCAAAATATATATATATATATATATATATATATATATATATATATATATATATATATATATATATATATATTATATATATATATATATATATATATATATATATATATATACACTTCAAAACAATATATTTCAGGATCTTGTCTTCGAACCAGTTCACAGGGAGACTGACACCGGCGCTTGGTCAACTAGTAAATCTTAGAAATTTGTAAAATCATTGACTTTGTTTGATTTTGCCATTATTTTTTAGGCTAAAACTGATTTTTTTTGGGGGGTATAATCAGTAGGATAAACGATTGCAACTTCAGTGGGCCGATACCTGATTTTATACAGAATTGGAGACAACTTAATAGATTGTAAGATGTTCTATGTTTTTCTTTGAAAAACATTGTAATGTGTTACTATCCTTGAATTTTATTTTATACATTCAAATAGTTTTAAAGATCTTAAAATACGTTTTACACCTTCAAATATATGAAAATAGGTTTTACTATTTTAACTCTTTTTATTGTGTGAAAACAATGCTACAACAACTTGAACTACTTGTTTAATGTGCTTACTAGTGTTTTTCTTTTTTTCTTTTTTGCTTAAATTTATATTTCATATCATAATTCTAATATTTGGATATTTATTGAAGACACATGGTGGCTAGTGGACTCACGGGGCCGATTCCCTTAAACATATCTCTTCTCGACAGCCTAAATGATCTGTGAGTCGACTCACGGGTCCTACTTGTTCATCCCGAAAATTTATATTTTTATATCCAGAAAGTTATTAGCTCATGGTGACCCATCTTTTTTGCAGGAGAATTAGTGACATAAGTGGTCCACCTCAACTATTTCCTCCCCTTAACAGAACCACGACGTTAACAAGATTGTATGTGTTATTTGGTTAATTTCCCTTACTTCCTTCTTCGCATTATATATATATATATATATATATATATATATATATATATATATATATATATATATATACACAACAAAATTTGTACCCTAAGGGAAAATGGAAAATGGAGAAAGATGGTAGAAAGAGCCCTTTAGTGAATATGTCAACATATATATTCATACGAAGATAGGACATGTAAGACTCGAACTAGACCCTTGGAAAAAAGGTTCCAAGGAATATGTCAATTTTGTTTATATACACTAACATCCGATCGCAGTTTTGCCATTAAAACTATCTGAAAACCAAATAAAAGTGTGTTTCTTCAAATTTTAAGTATTATTATGCAAATAAACCGAAATTGAAAACCAGACAACTTAATTTATCATACTTATAACTTATAAAAAACAGATGCATCATTCATTAATAAAACATGTAAGTGTGTCTATAAAATATACTATACTTTGAAAAAAATTGTGTACTCACGAGGTGGAACAAGCAAAGGCAAAACCAACATATTGCACAATTTGGTGTTGGTCGACAAAACCAGACATCTTTACGTTGAATATCAAACCTTTCACAAGTTCGGGGTTTAAGAAAAAAAAAATACCAATAATATATGAAGTAATTTGATATTTATTATTATTATAATTATTTTTACTTTTATGAAAAACACTAGGCACCGTAACCTTCAAAAGTGCAGGTTTATCAGAAAAGAAATGTATAAGACAATGATTGTTTATCACCTCTAGATACAAATGCGAAGACATACTAAAACCGTCTGAATATATACACTAACTATTAGTATGTAGATAATTCTCGTGTTGATTTTTGTAATAACTCATATACATCAACTAACATTTTGTATAAATTTAGGATCTTGAGAAATTGCAACCTTTTTGGGGAAATACCGGATTACATATGGCAATTGAGAGATCTCACATTGTTGTAAGTATATGCAAAATGGGTTTCGGTTCTTTTTATTCTTGATGGTATAATTTTAATGATGTATTTTCTTTTATGGATTTGATAGGGACGCAAGTTTTAACAATTTAGTAGGGAGAATATCCAACAATATCCTTCAGAGGAGCATACGATATGTGTAAGTCATAGATAAATATATAATGAGGATGACATGACATTTACATCTTTTGCATTAAAAGATTGAGTGCAAGTCCTTGTCCCGTTTTTTAAGTGGGACAAAAAATGTTTTTTTTTTGTTACATTAAGTCCAATACATGTTATATACAAGAACAATACAACTTGTTCTGTTCTTTTATGTAGTGCATAACAAATGGAGTATTAATTAACATTTTGATGTGATTGTGAATAGATTTCTAACTGGCAACATGCTAAGCGGAGACATACCAAATAATCTGTTGGAAGTTAATGGGGCTGCAATGTAAGTTTATTTCGTGAATATTAATTATGTTAAAAGTTTGTGTTGCATTCTTAGTTATTAATTAAGAAATTATAACGTTTTATTTGACTAACGTTCATGGTTCAGTGATCTTTCCTACAACAATTTTACATGGCAAGAACCTAATCAACCCTCATGCGAACAAAACAGGTAAAGACTTCTCAATTCTGCTTTACACTCCTTTGGTTCTAAAGTATACAAGTCCTTTGCTGGATTTATATAAAGTGTTCTTTCTTTTTTGTTATATTAGCGATAGATTGGTAAACTTGTTCAGAAGCTCTTCAACCGGAAACTCGATGTAAGATAGTTAATTACTTATATTTTTTTATATAAAATCTCCCTTTTTACACGCATTTAATGCTTGTCTCTCTTTTGATGATTTTTTCAATAATAGACAGGATGTGCGTCCATGCTCTGAAGATATCAAGTGTCATAGATGTGAGCATATTTTACCTCTTATATATTTTTAACTTTCTTGGTTGTTCTTTTTGTACCAAATCAAAAAGAAATATTCACATACGGCTTATCAGATTAAGATGATGTTTTTTTATTTAATACATAAAAAACTTAATGGTTAAAATATATATATTTTTGTTTCTTTTTTCTTAATGCTAACAAAATTTCCTAGTGGATTAAGTTAGAAAACGAATGTCGTTTACATTAATTCATGATATCATATTTAGTTTTCTAAATGCTCCCAAAGAAAATCACATTTATATCCAAAATTATGAGTAATGGAGTATATGCTGATTCTTAAATATTAAGTTATTCACTGTTGTATATGTAAATATTATACAAATTTCCTGTGTTCGTTATTTTTCTTTTTCCATTATATATGTATACATATTAATTTTTTGAATTTATTTTAGAATTTAAACTTATCTTAAAAATATGAGCAATCTAACTTACTAATAATATTATTTTTTAAAAAAATTATTTTTAAAATATACAATTTTACTTTGTAACGATTACAAATAGAATGACGTGCTTCTTCCATTTAAAAAAATTGTTATGCACATAAGGTAAAACAAATGAATGATCATTTGTTATCAAGAGTATTTTATTTACACAGTACTTTATCTACATAGATATCGTTACTCATTCAATATCTTTTATCAATTCACAAAGAAATAATTCCTAAGTCCTATCCTCATTAAGTCTGTTAATCACGTTAAGGCAAAAAATAGAAAATAAACACCCTAGATGAGAACTTATAAATATGACTTTTATATGATATTGGTGGTTTTATATTTTTAATATGTGTTATTCTTTTATATATATATATATATATATATATATATATATATATATATATATATATATATATATATATATATATATATATATATATATATATATATATATTTTTTATGGCAGATGCATGTTCGTTACACATTAATTGTGGCGGGGATGATGTGACGATTAGAGAAAACGAACGGTCAGTTGTTTACAAAGGAGATGCTATTGTGGATGGTGGTGTAGCAAATTTATATGATAGTGGCAAGAATTGGGGATTTAGTAGTACCGGAGACTTCATGGATGATGCTATTTTCACAAACATTGGATATATAGAATCTTTAGAGGGTAACACAGACTTACCGACCCTATACACAACCGCACGTCTATCACCGCTCACACTCACTTACTTTGGCTATTGTTTGGAAAACGGGGAATATGCGGTTCAATTGCACTTTGCAGAGATCAAATTTACCAATGATAGCACGTATAGAAGTCATGGTCGGCGGATATTTGATATTTATATTCAGGTGTTTCTGCTATCTGCTATCTACTATCTGCTATCTGCTACTAATTGCTACTAACATAGTTGTATGTGATTTAGGGGCAGCTTGTTAGAAGGAATTTTAATATTGAAGACGAGGCAGGTAGGGTTTCAGTTCCGCTGGTTGTATCGTTCAATGCAAGTGTGACCGATAACATTTTAGAGATACAGTTTTATTGGGCGGGTAAAGGGACGACCCGTTTTCCTACAAGAGGAGTCTATGGACCTCTTATTTCGGCTATTGATGTTGACCCATGTAAGCACCCAAAATAAATCATTGATCACAAAATTTTATACCTTCATTTGGTTTTTGAATTGTTTGTGTGGTTTTTATGTTGTGTAGACTTTAAAATTTGTTCAACTGGTGGAAAAAAGACAAACAAAACGGTTTTTATTGGTGTCGCGATTGCGGTTGCGGTTCCGTGTTTTGTATTGTTAATCTTGTTCATTTTATGGCGGAGAAAATGTTTTAAAAGACAAAGAACAAACGACAAAGGTACAATTTGTCTTTATGCCTACATGAGTCATGATTTTATTTGTATTTAAAACTCTGTATTTACTCCAAGTATTTTGTTGAACAGATTTTGAAGGAATGTCGTTGAAAACGATTTCGTTTTCGTATAAACAACTTAAATCAGCTACAGACAACTTTAGCATTTCTAACAAAATCGGTGAAGGAGGTTTTGGGCCGGTTTACAAGGTTATAATTGTAAAACAACTCATTATTTTGTGTGATTATGGTTTTTGTGTTTGTTAACATAACATTTTGTATGATGGTTTCAGGGTACATTGAGTGATGGCACTTTGATTGCAGTGAAGAAGCTTTCGGCTCAATCAAGGCAAGGAAACCGAGAATTCTTGAATGAGATTGGTGTGATTTCATGCTTACAACATCCGAATCTTGTTAAACTCCATGGATGTTGCATTGAAGGAGATCAATTGTTGCTTGTTTATGAGTACATGGAAAATAATAGCCTTGCAAGCGCATTGTTTGGTGAGTCTTGTTCAGTATTCTTGTCAAATAATAGCAAATTTTCCATATCTGTAACAATAATTTGTTGTTATCAATGTAGAGTCGAGTAAAAGTCGATTAATGCTGGATTGGGCAACGAGGTTTAAGATATGTATTGGGATTGCTCGAGGTTTAGCTTTTCTTCATGAGGAATCAAGGATCAAAATTGTGCATCGAGACATCAAAGCAACAAACATTTTGCTTGATAAAGATCTGAGCCCTAAAATATCAGATTTTGGATTGGCAAGGCTACACGAGGACGAGAAGACACATGTTAGCACCAGAGTTGCAGGAACAATGTAATCCTTCAAATACTTGCAAACATGTCTACATATTTGTTTCTTTAATCCGTTTTTCCAGCTAACGAGATCTTAATCATAATTTGTAGAGGATACATGGCACCTGAGTATGCACTCTGGGGTTACTTGAGTGATAAAGCAGATGTTTACAGCTTCGGAGTTCTGGCGTTAGAAATCGTCAGCGGCAAGAATATCAACAGTTACATTCCAACAAACGATTGCATTTGTCTTCTAGATTGGGTGCGTTGTCAAATCCAAAATCGTATGAAATTGTTAGTAGATCTGAATTCTGATAATTCTTTGGACCGATTATGCAGGCTTGTCGATTGGAAACGAGTAAACACTACGAAGAGCTTTTTGATGAAAGATTGGAGTCGAGAATCAACAAAGAAGAAGCGGAAACGGTGGTGAAAGTAGCGCTTTTGTGCACCAACAGTTCTTCGTCGATGAGGCCGACGATAACGGAGGTGGTAAATATGCTCGACGGGAAAACTTGTGTACCGGAGATAATCCCGGAGGCAAGCGGTTACTCTGAAGATCTAAGATTCAAAGCCATGAGAGACTTCCGACATGAGATGAATGGTCAAAATAGTTCCATCGGTGGTCAAACTCAGACTACTGACACGATTCCAACAGGTACAAATCATTCTTTGACATCTTCCGATGATCAATTTGAGATCCAGATCGTCGATACCAAATCTTGATGAAGAAGATTGAGGTGGAAGATACTTTGATTATTAGCAATTAGGGTTCAGAACATTTCCCGAAAACATTTAATCTGGTGGGTTTGTATTTGTGTGTTGTGTTTGTCTTGTGCGAAGAAAATGGTTTGAAAACATGATCCGTCGGGAATGGATCACGGCGTAACAGGGGCGACGGCTGGCGGAGGCGCCTGGTTCTCTCCGGCATAACATTTTTTGAATAATTATTTAATTTGTATAAATCTTTTAGGAAATAGGTAGTTGTCTATTTGTATTTTTTGTGTACTCTTATTAAAAAAATGTTTTTTAATCTCTATGATTCTAACTGCATGGTAACATATCTAAAGCTATATGTATTTTCGGCTAGTTATGAAAACATTTTGAGAGTGATGGAAAAAGTTGAAGTTTTAAACTTGAGTTAATCAGAAAAGTTAGTAACTCAATGTGGCTTTTGTGTGGATCATATTATGATCTTAACATTTTATATAATGGTAAGTCGAGTAAATTCATAAAAGTTAAGTATATATTAGGTAAATGCTAATTAGTACTAGGTTAGAGTTTGATAGATTCATAAATGGTAACTGATTTTTAAACAATATTTTTTTTCTATATATAATAATTTATGCATTAAAGTATTATATTGTACAACTCTATAAAACATAAATTGTTGTGTATGAATCACTTTCCTTCATAAATAATCGAGTTAGTTGAGTGTTAGATTCTGTAGAAGTTGATCCGTCAATTACATGTGAGCCTTGATAGAATATAAAAAGGTTAGTAGTTGGATTTGTTTAACCATGATTTAAGAAAAAGAACTCTATATTCACTCTTAATTCAAAAAAATTTGGATGTAAGCCTAAATGATATTGTTGTAATAGTTTCACCAATGCAAGGAGCGACTAAAACTTAAAAAACATTTGAGTTGTGTTAAATGTATTGTGGCATGTAGAAGACATTTAAATTTTATTACTTTTATAAATAGTAATATAATAGTATGTATTTTTGCTTGTTTATCTTTATTGTTTTCTTACTTGTATTGGGTGTTGTATCTTTATAATTGTATCAAGCGAAAGTTTGAAATCGGGCGATACGACAGAAGTTTAAGCAATTGTTTTGTGATATACGATTTTCTTTTGAAGATTATGTGTGACCTTATTATTATTATTATTATTTTTACTAATTAGACATTGTACTTGACAATCTAAGCATATGTGATCTTGCTTACCATTTGTAACCTTATATTTTAGTTTCTTTTCATATTATTTTTTATTTTTTCAAATGGAGATAATAAAAATTTAACCATTTATAGTGTTATATTTTTAATATCTATTTTATTTCAACTTTATACTCTCAATTATTTTACTACTAGACATTGTATTATGAAAATATAAGCTAATAAGATATTTTACTTATTTGATTTTGGTTATTCGTACTTTAAAAATCTAACTAGAAATAATTAATTATAGTAGGGAAAATTGAGTAATCTAACCCTTTTTTGTTGTTTTATAAAAATATAACCCATTTTTTGTTTTTGTAAAATGACCATTTGGTCCGAAATGATGTATTCTGTAACATTCCAAAAATTAAAGTAAAAAAAAAAATTAATTTTTCAAAACCAATTGAAAGACCATAATTGTTAACAAAACATTGTTTCCAAGAGTAATAGTCAAATAATAGTACCCCAAAAATCCAAAATCATCAAAATCAAAAGGATGTGCACGATCACATCTTTGTTTTCCCAAGATCGTTTGAAGTACCTAAAACAATAAACTGAAACTATAAGTCAAAGCTTACTGAGTTCCCTAAAATACCGCACACAACATATAACATATACAATCATATATGCTAGGTCCAATCAGTCATCGAACTGGGATACCTTCAGGTCCACAGCCATCGGGTTGGATTACCCCTGACCCAATCACTCATCGGACTGGAATGCCACTATACAATGGGTCCAATCAGACACCAGACTAGTATACCTCGGGTCCACAACCATCGAGTTGGATTACCCCTAGTCGGTTAGCTCACACACATAGCAGTAAAGCCTCAACCCCAAACCGTACTATGTCGACATATACAATAGATATAGATATAAACAATCAGCAGGAAACATTCAGATCTACATATCACTACCGCATAACACATCCTATATACTAGGATATAGATCTAACAAATCACTACAGCATAACAACATCCTATATACCAGGATACAAATCTAACAGATTACTACAACATAACAACATTTTATATACAAGGATATAGATCTAACATATCACTACAACATAACGACATCCTATATACCAGGGCATATAACCTAGTGGGTTGGCATTGGTGTCTTCGACCCACAAGTAGAGTGAGGAAAACTCACCTCTCAGTCTGAAAAGATAGCTGAACAGGATGTTGCTCCGAATATCAACTCTACCAGTCACCTATACATTGAAAAATGACAAAACTCAACTACAATTCAAAATACCCAAAATACCCCTAGGTTAAACTTGGTAAAATCTGGTCAAAGTCAAAAGTCAAAAAAAGCCAGCCGAGTACACCCACCGTACTCAGCTTGTACGCTTAGCATACTCAAGATCCAGGATCGGGGCTTCCATCGCATACATACAGCGTACGTCCATGTATGCCTAACGTACGCTGGTTGAATGCATTCCTTCCGTTTAAGGGCTCATCTCATTAAGTCCCTTCGACCAAAAGCAGATATAGTCCCAAAATACATCTTAAGTGATAAAGTCCCTTTCTCTATGAACACCAAAACGCACATTAATGGCTCAAGGATGCCTAAAAATGGATTAAGGTTAGCTAGGGTCGAACGTGGAGGTGGATGCTGAAGAATGAAGAGGTATCAATGAGTTAAGGATGTTTAAATAGGGTCCAAACCCTAAAATTTAAGGTATGAGTCTTTGCCACATATGCAAAGTGTACGTGATCGAGTTTAAATTTTCATTTATATGCCATATGGGACCAACTTTGCAAATAATTTTTATAGTAAGGGTCAAAATGTTAATACTTAGAATTTGAGGTGTTATAATCCCCCCCCCCCCTCCCCTCAATTGAATCATACTTTGTCTTCAAAGTCTGTTGTTGTCAACAACTCAGGGTAATGCTCCCTCATTTCTGCCTCGGGTTCCTAATTCCATTCAGAACCCTTCTGATGCTGCCATTGGACATTGACCAAAGATACCACCTTGTTGCACAAGGCCTTCGTCTTCCTATCCAAGATTGCCACTTGTCTTTCAACATAATTCAGGCGATTATTAACCTGAATATCATCCATAAGAATAACTGTTGAATCATCGACCACACACTTCCGAAGTTGAGAAACATGGAAGGTGTTGTGAATCTGACTGAGCTCCTCATGCAAATCCAACAGATAAGCTACCCTACAAACCCTAGCAATCACTCCATTGCCCAATATACCGGTGTAGCAGCCTAAAATCCAAGTAAAAATTTTCATTTAAAAAAAAAAAAGAAATTACATCCATAAAATGTTTCCAAAATCCATTACACCTTAAACATGATAAATTATCAGAGTAACAAATTCAGTAAGTGCGGAAAATAGTGGAGAGTAAATGTTGTGCCATCAAGTCGGGCCCTTCCCCTTAGTACCGGAAGTACCTGAGATCACAATTCAAACTGTAAGAAGACGCTTAGCGAGTTCCCAAAAATACCACATAACATACAATCACAAAATACCATGCAACATACATAAGACTGCCATGGGCTACCCCCATAGTCTTTCCCCTAGAATGCCATGAGCAACCCCCATGGTCTAATATCCAAGTACCATGGTCTACCCCCATGGTCTTCCATGCCTTGGGTTACCCTTATGGTCTTTCATACAAGTGTCACGGGCTACCCTGGGGTCTTCAGACAAGTGAGCACATAGACAACTATCATCTCCACATGTCAAGTAATGGGTCGACATTGGTGCCTTCGACCCATTGGTATAGTGAGAGACTTACCTAGAGCTGTTGAATCACATTGAATGTTCTATGGCTGCTGATCCGACAAATCCCCGAGCTATCAATACCAAATAACATCCCATAAATATATAGATTTCAAATCCATAACCAACAGTCCATAAATAGGGTAAAATGACAATTTTAACCCTTACGTAGTTTGGTCCAAGACTAAGGCCCAAACCTACAATCCAAAGGCTGGTTTACCAAAATAATTATCCAATGCCCATTCATGGCCAAATTTTCCAAATTAGGTCCAAACTCTTACATGGACCTTACCCCAAGGCCCAAAAATATTCTAAGTCCAAAACACTTGCATTCAGATGACCCAACAAAGCCCTAAGCATCTGAGCCCAAAAGAATGGCCCAAACCAAGGCTCAAAATGTCTGAAGCCCACTGACTGAGTACGCGGGGCGTACTTAGTTGTATGCTAAGCGTATACGCTTTAGGGCTTGTAAGCGGTGTGTACTTGCTTGTACATCCATCATACTTCACCATTCAGCCATCGTGTATTTTTTATCCTTAATCCATTAAGACATTGCTCCAAAACGTGGATCTGACTTCCTTAAGCTGCAATATCACGTAAAGTTGCCAACTTTACGTTCATGCATGGCTAAATGAAGCTCTTAAAGCTCAAAAGGAATTAATAGAAGACTTATTGCATGTATGAGCTCAAAAAACCCATAATTTTTGCACCTTTATGTTTAAGGAACTCCTAATAAGCTCATGTCTAAAAGAATAAGCCCTTCAAACATCCCAACTCATCAAACCAACTCAAAAGGGACCAAAAGCATAAAAACTAAGATATGAAGAGATCTAAGCATGGAGAAGACAAGGTTTGGACTTGATACCTCTAGAAGCTTGCAAAATGAGTGATGATTCTAGATCTCTAAAATTCCCATCAAGAAAAGTACCTTCACCTTTCTTCAAATCCTTCAAGATGAGCAAAATAAGCACTAATTCCTTCTCAAAGGCTCAAGCACACAACAATGGAGGCTCAAGATCGATTTTTACGGTTTAGAAGATATGGGGGTTGGTAAAGAGGCCATCCTTGGGGACTTAAGGTCTTTATATAGGATACAACACCCTAAAACTAGGGTTTCTTAAACTCCAAGTACGCTAAGTGTAACCCTCGTATGCTCAGCGTACGAGGCCTCGTATCCTCGACTAA